TAATCAGATCAAGTTATTCGATTCTTGAAGGGTCTTAATGACAGTTTCTCTCAAATATGGAATTTGATACTGCTAGTTGAGCTTCTGCCTTCGATCACTCAAATGTTCTCATTGGTCATTCAACACGATCTACATATATATCAATATGAATGGTAATGGATCTACACAAAATATGTTTGCACTAGCTGGCCACTCTTCTACTTTGGGTCAAGGTCACGGTGGCAAAACTGGATTGCGGAAGCACCCCATTTGTTCTCACTGCAGTCTTGTCGGTCATATGATGGATTGGTCTACAAGAAGCACAGTTACCCGTCGGACTACAGAGGAAATAAAAGTTCAACATTATTATTGTTGAAGTATCAAAGAATCCCAACCCTAATTATTAAGATAATAGTGTTGAGGGTCTTCTGGTGTTATCTTATTAGTGGTACTCATATGGGAAGTATCCCTCTCTGCTTGCTCAATTGTCTGTCTCGATGCCTCCACCAAGTTATGTCTCTTTAATGCTTTCTTCTTTTGCCTCGACTCTAACCTCACTCTTTGTTCCTACCGTAACTCCTACTCAATCCCTTTTTTAGGAGTGTACCTGGAACCATCTAGACTCCACTACTGCTAGACACCTTAAGACTCATGTTGTGAAAGGTAAGTACTCTCTTACTTCTGTTCATATGATATCCTTAAGTGCCTCTTCTAGGACTTGAATTGTAGATAGCGGAGCCACATATGAATATGCCTGCTCACTAGATTTGTTTGTTGATTTTAGGTTGGCAAAAAAATGTTTGTTACTTTTCATGATGGTTTTAGTGATGTTGTGACTCATGTGGGTACTGAGTTCTTTATGGAACTTTAACTAGACACAGTGCCCTAATAATTCCATTATTTACCTTTCACCAACTCCCCATAAGTTGGTTAACTAGGCAAAGTTATTGCAAACTGATTTTCTCTCGTTCGGGTTGCTTAATTCAAGATATCCCATCCCGATGGAAGATTGGTATAGTTTAGTAGAATTTTGGGTTGTGTCATCTCATAGTTGAGCATGTACGTGATTGTTCCATTATATATATTCCCCTTAGTCCCTTACTTTGTTTGTTGTTTTTTACATTACAATTGGACATTTTGATGGATTACCTTATCGGCTAGGTCATAATTTTATTCCTATTCTAAGTGATACTAGTAACAAATGTAAGAATTTGCACTATATTTTAGGTCCTATGGCTAAACAACATCATTTACCTTTTTAGTCTAGCATGTCTCATGTTGTTCTTTTGTTTGAATTGATTCATATTGATATATTAGGTCCTGATAGTGTCACTGCTATTGATGGATATTGGTACTTTGTAATGATTGTTGATGATCACTCTCGCAACACTTGGTGTTACTTGTTAGCTTCAAACTCAGAGGCTAGACTTCTTGTTCAATCCTTTTGTTCCTATATGCAAACTCAATTTTCTCAAAAGTTAAAAATATTATAATAGATAATGGTGTTGAATTTAACATGTCATCGTATTATCATTCCTTGAGTATCATTCATCAAACTACATGTAATGCTTCCTCACAACAAAACGGTCGTGTTGTGCGAAAGCGATGACATATCATTGCTGTGGCACTAGTTCTCCTAATGCAAGCTCATCTTCCGGTTAAGTTTTAGGGACATGTAATCATGCATGTTGTCCATCTCATAATCCGGTAACCAACACCTACCTTGAACAATCATTCTCCTTTTGAGCTACTGTTGGATGGAGAGCCTGATTATAGTAACTTTCGTGTGTTTGGCTGACTATTATGCTTTGACATTTGAGCTATTGTTGGGTGGACAGCCTGATTATAGTAACTTCCGTGTGTTTTAGTTTTCAATAAGAATTATCATGTACAAAAATTAGATGTTAACAATGTTTTTACATGGTGATTTGATCTAAGAAGTTTATATGAAACCTTCTCGAGACTTGTCTTTGCATTCTAAGAATTTGGTTTGTAAATCATTATGTGGCCTTAAATAAGCCATACACAATGGAATCACAAAATAGCTCAATTCCTTCTAAATGCTTGTTACACTTAATCTAAGAAAAATTATTCATTGTTTACTAAGACTAACAAGGATAAATTTATAGTTGTTGTAGTGTATGTTGACGATGTCATATTCATAGGTGATTACATTGATTCTCGTAACTTACTTAAGCCACAAGTAGATGTTGCCTTTAAGATCAAAGATCTTGATAAACTAAAAGACATTTTAGGCTTAGAAGTGGCTAGTACATCTGCTAGTTTTTTTTCTATTTGTCAATATAAAAACACTCTACATTTGTTTGGTGACACATGGTTACTTGCTGCAAAACCTGCTGCCACACCATTCGTCGGTGAAAGTCAGTTATCAATTCATGATGATGAACATCTTTCTAGCCGTAAATTGTATCATAGACTTGTAGGTTATTTTTTATATATGTGTCATACTCATTCGAAATTTGTTTTATTCGTCAATCATTTTACTCAATTTGTGAGTAATCCTTCTAGCATTCATCTTAATGTTGTATATAGATTATAGAGTGCTTAAATATCTCAAGAACAATCATGGACATGGTTTTTTCCATAGTAACTTTTCAATTAAACTCATCGTTTTTTTGAATAATGATTGGGCTCGTTCTTCGATATCTCGTAGGCTGATTATTGGATATTTTGTCTTCTTAGGAGACTCAGCTATTACTTGAAGAAATAGAAGAAACAACCTGGTGGTTCTCATTCCTAAGCCGAACACCGTGCAATGACATATTTAACATGTGAAGTGATCAGTGGCTGCATTACATTTTTAAAGATCTTGAAGTGCATTACATCTCTAAGCACTTTATTCGATGAGAATCATCTCTAAGCACTCAGTTTACTTATTATAGAATATGGTGTTTTGTACTACATGAGCCAATTCAAATAACTCACTGTGAGTTATTTAAAATACCTACCCACCCATTAGTTAGTTCAAATAACTAATCTCTCAATTTATTTTTTTACTCGATTCCTTCTTTAAGTAGTGAAATAACATAATTATTAAATGTTTTATCCAAATAAAACAATTGACCAAACCACCATATTCTAAACTGAAATACCACATGAAATGTCACATAGCAAAATAATACAACATTTTAATACGAAATACCACATAATCAAAATGATGCATCCAAAATAGCTGATAGTATATGGTTTTGGAGAGCTGTGCGGGTCCGACCAACTTGTTAGACCCACATAGAGATAGGTGGGCAGAAAAGGAGAGGATTTTCCCCACAAATATCGAATAATTAAAAATCGATCCAAAATAAAATACTTATAAAAAAAATTCCCAAAATACCTAACTTTGGAGTGGTTCGAGTTCAATGGGCTCGAATGAAAGAACCCTCTTGTTAGGGATTCTCGATACCGATTTGCGGCACCCGTAACTACTCGTAGCGAATAGGGATTTAGGGTTGAGATTAGGTATTTAGATGAGAAAGAATAGAATTGGGAATCGGCCGAGGCCTTGGATTAGAAGAGGATAGAAATTAGAAGTTGAGAGGATAAACTAGGGTTTAGGAGATTCTTCTTAATATTCTTCTTGACTGATTATGACGTAAACCCAAAGTACATATTTATAGGGAATCAAAACCCTAATAAACTAATCCTAACCTAATCGGCCTACGTTAGCCGCCTAACCCTATTTAACTAACATTGTTAATTATTATGATTCTACTAATTATATGTCTAACACTCGAACCACTAGTGGAATCGAGTTAGAGAGCCTCGATCAACTTTCTAAGGTTGTGGATCGAGTCTGATGGCCTCGGTTCACTACCTGAGGTAGTGGATCGAGTCCATTGAACTCGAACCACTGTATTGAAATTTCCAATAGCCTTAACTTTGTGTTCGGTTATCCGATCATAGTGAAAAAATGTTTTATTCCGTATAACTTTTCGAGTACTACAACTTTTTTCATAGAAATATTTTCAGAATGTATTTAGAAATGTGAAAAGTAAATCTAACCTTATTCTCAAAACCCCTTGTATCCAAAAAGATTTCCTATTTTGAAAAATTCATCCTAGTAAAAGTTGTAGGACTAAAAAATTTATGCAAAATCAAAACAAACTTTGCGAATATCGGACTACGGAGCACAAAGTTATGATCGTCCAAAGTTTGGCAAAAATTAATTGGTTGTTTGTAGTAGCAAATGACATTTTTTCGATTTTTTCCAACTTTTAACGATCATAACTTTGTGCTCCCATAATCCGATTGTAGTGATTTTTTTTTTTTTTTTTTGCACAAGTTTTTGAATACTACAACTTTTACTAAGGAAGAAATTTTCAAAATAAGAAATCTTTTTGGATATAAGGGGTTTCGAGAATAAGGTTAGCTTTACTTTTTACATTTACACATATATTATGAAAAATATTTCTATGTTAAAAGTTGTAGTACTCGAAAAGTTATGCGGAATCAAACAAAATTTCACTATGATCGGATAACCGAGCACAAAGTTAAGACTATTGAAAATTTTAACGCAGTGGTTTGAGTTCAATGGACTCGATCCACTACCTCAGAAAGTCGATCGAGGCTCTCTAACTCGATTCCACTAGTTGTTCGAGTCCATTGAGCTCGAACCACTCCAAACTTAGGTATTTCGGAAGAAAAAAAATTAAGTGTTGTATTTTAGGAATTTATTTTTTAATTATTATTGTATTTGGAGAAAAGACCCAAAAGGAAAAGAGGTGCCTTAGCTAGAATGAACTCAGCTTGCTTACCCCATATCTCTATCCATCTTTCGTTTCTTTTGTTCTCAAGCTCCACCTCCACCTGGACCTGCTGTAGTAACGGCTTGGCTCCCCTTATGATTGTATTTTGGCTCTCTTCCTCTTTCTTTCTCGTTCTCTTTCCTTCTCTAGCCTTATAATAAACACCTCTTTTCTTCACTTCTTCTCCGCCGCGCCTCCTCCATCTCTTCATCCTCCACACACACAAAAAAAACCCTTCTTGATTGTTTCGGTCCATACATGTCGATACAAGTAGCGACCGCCGAGGGTGCTGATCTCCTCTGGGGGAATCAAAAGTGGGTTTCCACGAATCCAAGTCGTGCTTCTAGCCATAGTACTGATGATCAAGAGAAATTATCCCAGAAAACTACTACCCCGATTCTGCCAATGCCCAACACAGAAACCAAAAAAGGTACCGCCGCCACCATCGGCAAGAAGCGAGAGAGGGGAGAGGCGAAGAAAACCGGCAAAGGAAAGGGACCCAAAGGCAAAGAAGGAAAACCCATATGCGAATCAGACCATGGGGTGCACATTTGGACAGAGCGGGAGAGGAGGAAGAAGATGAGGAACATGTTCGCCAACCTTCATTCCTTGCTCCCTCAACTTCCCCCTAAGGTATACCTATAATTCATTACCACTTTTCGTGTCCATTTTGTTGTTCATTCATTCATTTTGTCACCCAAATTGGACCCAAATACATACAAAAGTTCGTTTCTCTTTTTAGCATTACATGTCGTGTACATGTCGTTTTTTTTTTTTTACAAAATGTAATCTTATATTGATTCAGTCAGGTCTGAAAATCAAAGAAACGACTCATAGTTGGATACAATGTCAGAATCTTTCAAGCCACCAAATGGACTACCCTATTGCTACGCATTACCCTTAATACTTTGTGTCTTAAAAATCCCATATCATATGCAACTAGTTGAATTTTGAGTCTGACAGGCTGACAAATCCAGCATAGTGGACGAAGCAGTGAGCTACATCAAAACCTTACAGCAAACCCTTCACAAGCTTCAGCGACAGAAGCTGCAAAAGCTCCAACAGCCGCCGGCAACCACGGCTGGCGACGACGACATGATGATGATGATGATGATGATGTGTGACAATAACAATGTTATTGCCGCTAATTGTTGTGGCAATAATAACAACAATGCAGCCGCGGTGTTCCATACTTGGACCTCCACCAACCTTGTCCTTAACATCTGCGGCGACGAGGCACAGTTCAACATCTGCTCCCCGCCGCCGCCAGCCGCCAGCGGCACCATCTTCACCGCCGCCTGCTATGTGCTGGAGAAGCATGGCATCGAGGTTCTCTCGGCTCATGTCTCTTCCAATTCTGATCGGCGGCTGCTCATGATTCAAGCGCGTCATAATCGTTCTGTGAGTACATTTATATGTAATTGAACTTTATTTTTTCCATTTAGTTTATACTAAATTATTTCAGTCTACAACTTTATACAAAAAACAAAAAACAACTGTTGGTGACAAGAATTGTTAAACAGTGGTGCATAAGACCTCATACTCAGCTGGCAAAATACAGCTAATATGAATTTAAGAGCTAATTCGTGATAAAAAAAAAAGTTAATTCGAGTCGTTGGAAAATATGAACACGAGACTTTCGTATGTAATTTCCTTTAGCGGTTAGCTATTTGCATGCCTTCCATTACAGAAGATGTGAGTTGGTGAGTGTGCTTTTTTTATGTTGTACACAAAATTAATGTTGCATGCCTAGCTTAATGCTAACTGATTGATGAACCTTTTTTTTTATCTGTTACAAGTTAATTAGTTAAATTTTCTTACATAAATTACCGCTCTTCTCTCTAATCGTTGAATTAGTTTCACTCTGACGCTAGAGGTGGAAAGTTGAGATTTAAGAAAGAAAAAGTGTAAAGAGGAGCGAAAAGATGGTAACTTATGAAGGGTGAAGTAGACAAACTTTATTAATTCTTCTGAAATGAACTTCATGAGTTTTTATCTGAAATCTTTTCTTTTGGTTGCCAATTACTAATTAATTAAACCAACATGATTTGTAATTAAGCAGGAGAATAATGGAGGTGGCCGTGACCATGTTTTGGGAGCAGATGATCGGGAAAATGTTGTTGCAGAGATATTCAAACAGGCAGCAGCTGAGATGCTTTCTTACCTCTGTTCTTCACCCAATTAGTGATTATTAATTAATTCAGTTATACAACCCAATTTTTAGGGTTTCATATAATTAGTGTCTTCATTACTCTTTTTGGTGTCCAATGATACTTTGGGTTTGCTCTATCTATTTTGGGGTGTTTCTGCCAAACAACTTTGTCATATAGATATTTGGGTTTTGTTCTGTACAGGAGAAGCATGGATCCATCTCCTTCATTTATTAGGCACATGTATGTGTGTTTTGTAGGTTTGATTGCGTCCCGTTGGATCCGTTAGCTTTATCTATTTAATGAATACATCAAACGAATATCCATTTTGGTTCATTTGATAAGGGCACTTCCCATTAGGATGGTTATCCGATGGTTCGGGCAATTTTCGTCACTTAAATCCACTCAACCATACAAGAATGAATTGGGTAAAAGATGACCCACTATGTATCCACCCACATAGATGAGTGAATCGGATGAGTGGATTCAAACATAATGAATTGCATCTTCGATCTGGAAGACCCGCTCATTTTGTACATGTGACGAAAAGTTTATATTCTAAGTTTTTATGATCACTTGCCCAACATTATTAATGGCTAACTGGTGGATCAAGCTCCAGACATATATCTTGGGGGTAAGAAACCCCTAATCTAGATTTAGAGAATCCTTAATTTGTGTGTGGGTGATGATTTAAAGCTTGATTTATGAAGTTGGCTATCCAATTAGGTCAAAATTAGCGCTGAAATCAAGTATAACAACTACTCAACTAGGTAATTGAATAATTGTTGAATTACTTAGTTGTGTGATTCTGGGCTTGCCCTAATTTACAAGAATTGTACATATCTCTAGCTATGATGGTCAATTGCATTATCATTAAGTTGGTCACCACAGCTAGCAGGGAAATTGGGTGCATTACCATTAATCCAATTACCTCTTTATAGATTGTTGCACCTTAATTACTATAAATGAAACAATTATAAATGAGCTAAGTTAGGTGGACAACATTACCCTCCCCCTCTTTATACTAAGTTTTATAGCAATTTGAAGGTTGTTAGTTGAAAGGAATGGCCGGTTCCCGTGGAATACAACCTTAGTAAAGGGTCACTGCTATACTTTAATGTCAATCTATGTTATAGTAGTCCTAGATTGGGTTTGCAAGTACAAGGTACCAACCAAATTTCTCTTGTAGTATAATTTGGTTCAATTTTTTATTCATTGATATAAATCAAGTATCAAATCTTTTCACATTTTACTAGTAATCACTTCCATTATTCACTAGCTTACTTTTGTCAAATCAAATCCAAAATTTACAAAATCCATACTATTAGTTCGTTTACTCAATTAAGCAACCTTGCCTAGTAATAGAGCACAAGCTAGCTAACCAATGGCCATGCATCAAATCTCAAACTAGAAATGAGATTTACATATCCATTCAACATAGTACAGGTGCTCCTTGCCAAGGGTTATTTGAGTTAGGTCGAAGAAGAGGAAACCCACAACTTTGATACTAAGGGTGAAGGAAGTTTCATTCCATTAATGCCTAACGAAAAACCTTCTCAAATGATTCCCTAAACCTCTGAGAAGATAATCAAATCCTCTATTGTGAAAATCTATAGGAGTCCCAACGACAAAATACAACATGAGCAACCTCAAGTTCGACAACAGTAACAACGAGGTGTTCGATATAAAAGGCCAACACTTCAAGTAGCACTGGTTGAGCACCCCTTCTTCGATGTCATCCCCACTCAACATGTGGGAAGTTATACTCAGATCTGAGACTATTCGACAGGCAAAAGCAAATGCCTATCTTGGACTCTCTTTTGCCAATTAGGAGTCGATGAGACTATCCGAGAGAGTATAGGGAAGTACAAGTAGATCATTCTCTTAGAGATAGAGGAGCCAATCTATTGTGTTCTATTGATCAAGTTCATGAACACCATAGAGATAAAAGTCTTTTCGAGCCGCCTCCAACGAACTCCCAACATTTCATTTCAAATCTGTTGTGTGCAGCAAGCTATGACGATCTTGGATTTCATAAGGAATCTAGACATATATCTGTGGGGTTCTCATTTGTGATGCATTAGGTCCAGACTATCATGTGTTCGCAGTTACACATCTACCATGCATGACTAGCTGAGGTAATCGACCAAGAGTGATGAATCATAAGAGTGAACTCAAGTTCTACCATGCATGACTAGCCGAAGTAATCGACCAAGAGTGATGAATCATAAGAGTGAACTCAAGTTCTACATATTATTACTAAACAAAAGTCTGAATACACATATGTTCTACCCCCTAAACAACATGGGATGTTTAAAGAGAGTGCACCACATGGTTGCTCCTGTTATCTCATATGAGGCTAAACTACTAAATTTTCATATCATGGAATATGTCGCAGTTCACTGGTTAATGGATATACTTTTGATCTTTTGAATTCCGTATGCCTTTACAAATCCCTTATTTATTTTAAGCCCCCTAAGTCTAAAGTACAAAGAATATGTATGATGTACAAGGATTTTTTTACTTCATATTCGACTTTGAACTTCTTTTCCTTAGATTGTAAAGCAAGAAAAAACTTGTAGAGTTGTGGCGGGGTCGGAGAAGGTCTTCAGACATTGTGGTCATCACGTAGTCATAATGGGTTGAAATATGGTATGCACATCTCTTACGGACTCTTGGGCTTCTAGTCCAAAACTCAACTCTTTTGGGTCACAGTGGATAGATAAACGGCTTGTGTTGCCGTGTGTCTTCTTGCATCTACACGCTTGCGCTTGTAGGACACAAGACATCCCAATTGGGATATTAGGGATTGAGAAGAGTAGAATTTAGGGATTTGGAGAATTGGGGAAGAACAAGAGAGAGAATAGAGATTAGGGATTTGAGAATTTCTGATTATTATTCCTTAATTCCCAAAACTAATGAAATGCATCCTTAAGTAGCAGTAAGCCGAAATAACACAAAATAACAAGTTTGCCACTCCTTCCCTCCCCCTCTTTGGCCGACCGGCCCTCTCCCTCACTAACCCGAAGTCGGGTTTCCCACATCCCCTCCTCCTTCAGAATCGACATCGGCCTCGATGTCGAAGCCCGGAAATCTCTGGCGGAGCACCTCTGACTCCTCCCAAGTAGCATCGTCCGGTTCCACATGCCTCCACTGCACCAAACTCTCTTCCACCAACCGCCCTCCCTTCTTTGTCCACCTAGTCTCTAATACCTTGAGAGGAACGAGCTCCAAGTCGCCATCTGCTGTCACCGGAGGGGCCGTCGATGTCACCCTGTCCGCCTGGCCCCGGTACTTCATCAGCAAGGAAATGTGGAACACCGGGTGTATGCGCGAACCTGCAGGCAGCTGTAGTCGATAAGCAACCGGGTTGACCTTGTGGATGATCTCATACGGCCCAAAGTACCTAGCTGCCAGCCTCTGGTATGCCCGCCTGAAAACCGAGGACTGCCGGTAGGGATGCAACCTCAACAGTACCCAGTCACCCACCTCAAACTCCTCTTCCCTCCGCCCTGCATCCTCGGCCTGCTTCATCCTGTTGGACGCTGCAGCCAAATTAGTTCTCAACTGCTCCAGAGCTTCATCTCTTGCGCCCAACCACCTGTCCACCGCATCCACCAAACTCGAACCGCCTCTGTACTGTACCAATGTCGGGGGTGATCTCCCGTACAAAGCCTCAAACGGAGTCATCTTAATAGACCTATGAAACGTGGTGTTATACCACAATTCCGCCCAAGGAAGCATGGCCAGCCACTGCCGCGGCTGCTGGTGGGTAAAGCATCTCAGATACTGCTCCAGATACTTGTTAACTATCTCCGTCTGTCCATCGGTCTGCGGATGGTAGGCCGATCTCATGCGTAATACGGTCCGTGCCATCGCGAAAACCTCCTGCCAAAACCTGCTCAAGAAAACCGGGTCGCGATCACTGACAATAGACCTGGGAAATCCATGATGTCGCACCACTCCCAAGACAAACTGCTCAGCCACCATCTTCGCAGTGTACGGATGCGCCAAGGGCATAAAATGAGCATATTTCGTGAGCCGATTCACGACCACGAACAACACCGTCTTCCCACCTGAGGGAGGCAACCCCACTATGAAGTCCATGCTGATGTCTTCCCATACCCGTTCCGGTACCAGCATCGGCTGCAGAAGGCCGGCGGGTCGCAGGTAAGACAGCTTCACTCTCTGGCATGTATCGCATGACTCCACATAGGCTCGCACCGCCTGAGCCATCCTGGGCCAGTAAAAATGGCCTTTAATCCGGCGAAGCGTCCTCTCGGCGCCTGAATGTCCTCCCAACGGAGAGTCATGGAACTCCTAAAGTACTGAGGTGACCAGGTTCGAGCCAGGAGGAAGAACCACTCGACCCTTGAACGTCACCAACCCCTGCCGAAATAAATAATGACCCGGGTTATCGCTCACTGCGATCTCCCGACAATCCTGTAAATACTGACTGGTCTCCATGGATGCCCGTAACTCATCCCAAAACTGCGGAACGGGCCCCGACACTGCGGCGAGAACCTCGCTGCCCGGCTTCCTCGATAACCCATCCGCCACCACATTAGTGGGCCCGGGGCGATAGTGAATCTCATAATCGTAGCCTAACAGCTTCGACACCCACTTGTGCTGATCCGGAGTAGACACCCGCTGCTCGAGGAGGTGCTTCAAGCTCTGGTGATCGGTGTAGATGTGAAACTTCTGTCCCAAGAGATACGGCCGCCATGTCTGTACTGCAGTAATAATCGCCTGCATTTCCTTCTTATACGTAGACCAAGCCTCCTTGGAGGGTGCCAGTGTCTTGCTCATGAAGGCAATGGGGTGGCGGTCCTGAGATAACACCGCCCCTATCCCCCGGCCCGATGCATCCGCCTCGATCACAAATGGCTTGGAGAAATCCGGCATGGCGAGAGTCGGAGTGGTCGTCATAGCCTGCTTCAGCCGCTGAAATGCAGCCTCCGCTGCTGGTGACCAGACAAACCCCCCTTTCTTCAGTAAATCCGTCAATGGTCGGGCGATCATGCTGTACCCCTGC